TACAAAATTATTTGAAAGATAAAAAAACGCTAACTAAGGGTAAGGGCTGTTTCCTGAGAGTCGACTCTCATTCGAAAGTTATCTTTAAATTTGTGCACTAAAAATCGATCGCTATTTAATTGCTGCATGTCAGTTAGTTCTCCACTGTGAAAACGGCCTTTATCGTGATAAAAACTTGTTTTTTTTTTAACGGATGTTTTTCACCTTTTCAATAACATTCTTGAGATAGCAAAGATGCATAACTTTTATTGGTGTAACATTTTTCAAATTGGCTGCAAATACTTACTTGGCATTGAACGTGAAAAGAGTTGGGTCGTAAAGAAATTTGTGTATGATTATTTACATATCTATTTTTGCATATAACTACATCTCCAATTGGCACCAAAAATGAACCATCAGTACACTTCAACGGCTATTGCATTAAGGTTTCTGTTCTATTCTTAACCGACTTCCAAAAAAAGAGGAGGCTCTCAGTTCGTCGGAATATTTTTTTTAATTTAATTTTTTTATTTTTTATGTATGTTACCGCACAACTTTGGACCACGTCAACCGATTTCGATAATTTTTTTTGCATCGGAAAGGTAGTGTCCAGAGGTGGTCCTATACTAATCTGGTTTTGATCTATATATATATATATATTATATATGCGAATTGAAGTCGGTTTTGTTTTTTAACCGACTTCCAAAAAAGGAGGAGGTTATCAGTTCGTCGGAATATTTTTTTTTTTTTTTTTTTTTTTTTTATGTATGTTACCGCATAACTTTGGACCACGTCAACCGATTGTCCCATACTAATCTGGTTGAGATCCGATCAGTGAAGTCGGTTTTTTTTTGCTAAAAATTACTTGTTTGCTTAAAAATTACCGTCGTTGGAAATTCTATATATATTTCTATCATACACGATATTTAATTTACCCCCTTTTTTCTCTTTTCAGCTACTCCTACGAATTAATTAAAGAGATCGCTGATTTCTTTTTGGAGCGCACCACCATTCGTCCCAAGGTTGGCATAATTTGCGGTTCGGGTCTAAACTCGCTGGCCGATCACATCACAGACACGCAAGCCTTCGACTACAAGGACATCCCCCATTTTCCCGTCTCTACAGTTGAGGGTCATGTGGGACGCATGATTTTTGGCTATCTAGAGGGCATGCCTGTGGTGGCCATGCAAGGTCGCTTCCACAACTACGAAGGTTATCCGCTAACCAAGTGTTCTATGCCTGTGCGCGTCATGAAGTTAGTCGGCATTCAATATCTTTTTGTAACAAATGCTGCGGGCGGTCTAAATCCCAAGTACAAGGTCGGCGATATCGTCATCGTGCGTGATCACATCAATATCATGGGCATTGCTGGCAATTCACCACTGCAAGGACCCAACGATCCACGTTTCGGTCCCCGTTTCCCGCCCATGAAAAATGCCTACGATCGTCATTTGGTAGGCAAGGCGCGAAAGGTTGTACGCGAGATGGGCATTGAAAATGATGTGCACGAGGGTGTCTTGATTTGCTTGGGTGGACCCAACTATGAAACGGTGGCAGAACTGAAAATGCTACGCATCATGGGCGTCGATGCAGTGGGCATGTCCACCGTCCACGAAGTGATAACCGCCAGGCATTGTGATCTCACCGTATTCGCGTTCAGTTTGATAACAAACAAGTGTGCGACCGATTACGACAGCTGTGAAGAAGATGCAAATCATGAGGAAGTGGTTATGGTGGGCAAGTCGCGGCAGTCTATTTGCGGTGAACTAGTGTGTCGAATGGTAAAGAGTCTGGCAGATGACATCTCTCAGAAGAATGGAAGTAAATGATTGACGGCAGCAATTAGACTAGTGAAAAAAAGGATAAGAATATTAGCAAAAAAGTGAACGTGTTTATACTGCAACTGCAATTCATAATTATTTTTGTATGTAAGTGCGAGATCACTGGAAATTCATTATCATGTGGACGTAAAAAAAAACGGTATTTTAGTAGTGTAACGTTGGCGATTTATAATATAGTTGTAGCTTTAGTTGTAGTTAGCTATTGTTGCTACATTGTAGCTATTTATTTTGAAAATTTCTCCTAAGAGAGTTTAAGTGAAACTGTGTATGACAAAATCGAATAGTATATTGCACAGGAATTTCTTTTATTTTTAATAATGTGAGTGCATTTTTTGCCACGCATTTATGTATTTGTCTTTACCTTCGGCTAAGCAAAATATTTATACGGTTAACTATCTAACTTAATATAAAGTTAGCAAAACATAAAATGTTTTAACCAAATAAATTTATTTGAAGCGACTAAACTATGGCCTACGACTTATTTATTAAAAAAAAAAAAACAAAAAAAAATGATTGTTTCCCCAAAACTATCGATCCTATTCACCTAGGCGACCTTAAACTTTCGAAAAGTAAAATATGGCTTCTAAAGTTTATAAAATCGTTACTTTGAATAGTTCCCAAAAAGTCGATTAAACGACGAAATTTCTATCAAGACTTCTTAGACCGGATTTCCAATACCTAGTGGGTATTCGGCATTAGCTATGTACAGTGTTGGACATATCATTTTAGACGAAATTCAAAATTATATTGTTTGCTAGTTAGGTTTATTTATTAATTTCTGAGATTTTTCAATTAAAATGGAGATCATTTCCTAAAAAATACAATATATACTCTTAAGGTTACAATATTGTAGAATACTGAAAAAGATTCATTAAATTTTCATCATATTTTCAAACTGTTTTCTTAGAAGTGTTAAATTTTTTTTTGGGAGTATACAATTTTATAGCCCATTCAATTTTAGCGTCATAATGTGCAAGTTTCAAGTGGCTAAAAATGTGGATGCGACTTTGATGATTTTTTTTTTAGCTTTCTACAAAGCTTTGAGCTTAGGATTATATGATATTTGTTAGGAAATGAACCGTGTTTTAATTGAAAAGTTCTATAAATCTATAAATAAACATAGGTCGCCAACAATATCATTTTGAATTTGGTACAAAATGATACATATGCACTGTATGTAAATACATATATACACTAGGGCGGGTCAATTTGTATGGGAGGTTTTTCCGACTATGCGCATATAGCACAGAAGAATTCTACGTTTAAGTCTAAGCGAATTTGTCGAAGAAACCATGGGCCTAAAATAAACTTGGAGTTTTGCCAAATTGCGAAAGTAGGTTTCTTAGCATTTTGCTGTAGAGTCGTAAAGAAGTGCTTATATTTTGTATAAAAACATGCTATAAGAGGATTTCTGATGCACTTATCTTTTTCTTAAAACTTCCAACTCCAAATTGATTTTAGACCTATGGTTTCTTCTACGCCATTAGCGCAAAGTCAAAAAAAAAAAAAAAAATAAAAAAATAAAAAAAATTAAAAATAGATCTGTACTAATATGCACCCTGTGTCATAATTATAAGTGCACCCACCACAACGCACGTTTAATAATAGAGAGCTGTAATTCAAAATTTACGTTTTTGGAGATTTCATTATACAATTAATAACCTTAATGAGTAGAATATCTTCAGCCTAAAAGATGACTAAACTTCCCAAAAATGGCGAAGCTATGTGTCTTT